CCCCCCCCCCCCCCCCCCCCCGGGAGATTCGACGAACAAAATACACTCCATCCAAAAACATAACCACTCCATCCAACATGGGGCCACCACTACGGCACCTATCCGGGGTAGCCAGAAGAAATGCCTTGTCGTCGAGGACCAGGTACATCTCCGACCTCCCGCGCCGGCCCGACGCCGCAGCAGAAGCCGCCGCTATCGCCGCCGCCACTCCCGACCGGCGTTTTCGGCCCCCGCTTCCGCCCCCGCCAGAACTGCCGCCCTCCAAAGGCTCGGAGAATGAGCAGGCCAGGCATTCTCGTCCCCCGAGGTCTAGGGAGCCGTCTTCCCAAGGATGCTCTGCGGCCTGCGGACCGAGGCCTGAAGAGGGGCGCGCCCGGCGGGAGGTTTCGATGGGGGGGGGCGAGATATGGGCTTTGAGCAAAACAACGAGCGCGTGTGCGACAGCTCTCTGGTCTGTGGACACCGGACTGCGCACACTAGTCGAGGTCTTTTTATCTCTTGACGGTTCCGTGCATTACTTATTTCAGCCAAGAAGAGGCAGAGAAGAGCTTTCTCCCCTCTCAACAGCGAACGACAAGAATGATCTTCCTGGCGTGTTTGACCTGGTTGTACATGATCCCGTAAGGGGCTCATTGGTCTGCACTTGCGAAACGCTGCCCTCATCTTGGAAGGGAATGTTGGGCGACAGCAACGGCGATCACGATGCTAATGAACGCTAGGCGAGGATATTTGGATCACCCCGGAGAAAGCCCCAGGAGGGTTACTCCACGTGCAAGGCGGTATAGGTTTTGGTTGTAAACTCGAGACCTCCCGGGGGGACCTCGCGGGGGGCTCTGTAAACACTTTCCCTCTGCATTTACGTCCATTTGAGCACGTGATTCTGGGACTTGAAACACGGTAGCTTGTGGCCGAAAACAGAGGGCCCGCAAGAATACACAGCAAGCTTTCCACGTCATTGGAACGAGTGAAACAAGGGAGAGCGGAAAGCAACAGCAGTGTTCCCTCGGCACCACCAATCCAATGCAATCCCATCCTCACATCCGCGCGATACAAAACACATTACACTGGGTGTCGCCTCGTCGTCGTTCAATCCACAGCACGCTCGAAATGTACTTCGTAGTATCGTCGTTGCTGACACGTGTCTCACCGGCAATGGACAGCACGGAAGGGTCCGCTTCCCCTCTCCCCGAGAGAAGACGCAACACCTGCCGCACCTCTAGGAACGCCTGCAGAGAGCTACGGAGCTCCCGCTGCCGCGCCCTACCGCTCCCGGCGTCCGCCTCAGCGCATCCTTGCGAGGTGGGCGAGGACGGCGGCGGCCGCGGCGGTGCGGCGGGTACCCGCTGAGATGGCGGCGAGTTGTCCAGGCTCCAGCGGAGGATCAGGCTTGACATCTTGGGGAGGTTTGTGATTGCCCCGTCTAGCCCTACCCGTTTCAACCATTCGCGAATCTTCACCACAGTGCAAGTACCGAGAAAGGCAAACGGGCGGGGGGGGATCAAGGTTTGCCAATGCCGCACCAGCTGCGCTCGACGCAAAAAAGACGTGCAGTGCCGTCATACACGCGGTGCGCGCGGGGAAAAGCAACCACCATTTGAATACCAGCAACCGCTGCCAGCCTGGAAGGCGAACTTACTTTTCCTGTTCTACGGTAGGCCGAGAGCAACCGCTGAATTTCCGTCCACGGAAACCGCATGAACAGGTCGCAATATCGCCATCTTCGTTCTCTCTCTCTCTCTCTCTCTCTCTCTCTCTCTCTCTCTCTCTCTCTCTCTC